GCCTTTCCTTGCCCTGCCTTGCCTTTCCTTGCCCTGCCTTGCCTTTCCTTGCCCTGCCTTTCCTTTCCTTGCCCTGCCTTTCCTTGCCTTGCCTTGCCCTGCCAGGTGTGGGTGATGGCCAGTGACTGCATGCAGGAGTTCCTGGTTTTGGTCGTGTGGGATTAGATTGGTCGTCAGTGGAAACGGCAGACGTCTTTCTCCGCTGACGCTTGGTGAGGAAGCGGCCTGTTCTCAGTTAGCAGGAAGTCCTCTGATTGGTTCCTGAAAGCTGCGCATCAGGAAGTAGCATCGTGTCTTTGGTTCCTAGCTGACTGTGTTTGGTCCCTGTTAGATTGGCTGTTTTATAGAATATAGATTTAAATGTTTGCCATGAATCAGTCAGTCAGTTTGGTTTGATATTGACGGTTTATCAGACATGATGTCATTATTCCAACAGACTGGTTGAACCGTGTAGCTTAGAGCAACGAACACAATCGAACCTGCAGGTTGATTGAAGCATTAATCCGTCCTTTGGAGGACGACCAATGAGGCCTAAGCTGCCCCGAAGATCTCCTCTAAATAAAGATCATGATCTGATGCGGCGGAGGGTCAGGCTATCAGATTATCAGAGGGGGAATTAAGAAAAGCTTTAGTAGAATCTAATCCAGAGATGCTGCTCAGCTCGTCTTTCTGCTGCTGGTCGGGATTCATCGTCTGCTGCGCATCATCTGTATTCAGGAGCGTGTTTCCGTGTGCGTTAGCGTGCGGGTTGGCTGTGTGTTGAATGAATTTTAATTGCTTTATTTGCATGTTAACAACCCGCCCTGCCACACACACAAACACAGATGCAGCAGATGTTGGCTGGGCCTCCTGTGAGCTGCGCTCTGCCAGGCGGCTGCCATCAGCCGCTCAGCACTCGCAGCGACCCGGACTGTTCGCTGGGCTGAGCACTAATCAATGAACATTAATGAATCAGAAAAGTCATTCTGTTTTCTCTCATCATTTAATTCAGAGCTAAGTTTAGCTGCATGTTGTGAATCTAAGCTCAGATTAATTCACCTTTGGTTGAATTATTCTGATTACAGTCGTTCCACCAGGGACAGCCCCCCCTTCCTATCTACATAGATTAAAGTTGGAAGACTTTTTAACACGTTTCCATGAAGCACGGTGGTGTGATGCTGCGGGTCTCTGCTCCGCCTGCGGCCGGCCGTTCACTCTGAGGGCGAACATCCTGCCATAAATGACTCATTTGGAATAAACCAATGGGAGGCCCTGATGGTGAAACGGTTTCAGCCTTCGACTGACATGGAAAGGGTTCAAATCTGTAAACTTTATTGCAGAAGAACATCAGAGGAAATGTTTATCAGGCAGGATTCATCTGGAACAGAAAAGAATAGCAATAACTTCCTCTCCTGGTTTCCATGGCAGAGCTCGGCTGATCTGAGGTCTGCCTGCCACAGGCTCAACATCCATGTTGTGGCGTTGGTGGTCTCATCAAGCTCTGACACACCTGCACCTCCATGAGGCGGCGGGCCGAGCGGCGGTTTAAAGATGCAGCCTGTGTCACAGCGATGGCAGAGGAATTCATTAACATTTAGCAGCACCTGTTCCCTCTGCTACTCCTCATCCTGCTAATTGATTACAGCAGCCTGATTAGCAGAGGAGAGGCTGGAATGAAGCACGGCGCGGCCAAAAGCCTCCGCCTCCTCTGCATGTGCGCCACCACGTGCTTCATCACCTAATTAGCCACTTTGACAGCACATCCTTCTCTGTGGGGTCTCCATGGAAATGCTACAGAAGTCAAATTCATGTTCTAACAACTCCCACAAAGACCCGAGGAGGTAAACCATCCATGAAGGACGCTGACGGAGCCGACCAACCTCAGAGAAACGGCTCGGCTCAGGAGCTGCAGAGATGATTCTGTCCAAACGCCACATTTCTCCACTTAGAGGACTGCAGACTCCCAGCATCGCCGTTTGTTTAACTGCAGGTTCCAGGTTCTGAATTCATCCGTTTTTGAACAGTTTATTCAGAAGGATAAGACGATATTTTTTTATTTTAATTTATTGTTAGTTTCTTTCCCAGCGTTTTATTGTCAGAGCGACAATATTCCCACTTTTCATTTAACCCATCTCCTTAAAGCGCTGCCATTGTGCGGCGCCCAGGGAGCAGGA